CACACAGATCAGAGAGATCTGCCCAACAGGTGTATAAACCGGGCAGTGACCTGTGGTTCTGTACAGAGTCTACAGACACACACAGATCAGAGAGATCTGCCCAACAGGTGTATAAACCGGGCAGTGACCTGTGGTTCTGTACAGAGTCTACAGACACACACAGATCAGAGAGATCTGCCCAACAGGTGTATAAACCGGGCAGTGACCTGTGGTTCTGTACAGAGTCTACAGACACACACAGATCAGAGAGATCTGCCCAACAGGTGTATAAACCGGGCAGTGACCTGTGGTTCTGTACAGAGTCTACAGACACACACAGATCAGAGAGATCTGCCCAACAGGTGTATAAACCGGCAGTGAGATCTACAGACACACACAGATCAGCCCAACAGGTGTATAAACCGGGCAGTGACCTGTGGTTCTGTACAGAGTCTACAGACACACACAGATCAGAGAGATCTGCCCAACAAGTGTATAAACCGGCAGTGACCTGTGGTTCTGTACAGAGTCTACAGACACACACAGATCAGAGAGATCTGCCCAACAGGTGTATAAACCGGGCAGTGACCTGTGGTTCTGTACAGAGTCTACAGACACACACAGATCAGAGAGATCTGCCCAACAGGTGTATAAACCGGGCAGTGACCTGTGGTTCTGTACAGAGTCTACAGACACACACACAGATCAGAGAGATCTGCCCAACAAGTGTATAAACCGGGCAGTGACCTGTGGTTCTGTACAGAGTCTACAGACACACACAGATCAGAGAGATCTGCCCAACAAGTGTATAAACCGGGCAGTGACCTGTGGTTCTGTACAGAGTCTACAGACACACACAGATCAGAGAGATCTGCCCAACAAGTGTATAAACCGGGCAGTGACCTGTGGTTCTGTACAGAGTCTACAGACACACAGCTATAGAAACTTAGTTCCCATCGTCCTCTTGAGCTCAGTTCCTGTGATCACAAAATATCAGCACCAGTTTTCCATTTACATTTTACAAACTTATCAAACACTGACATTGGGGAAAGGGAGATAACTTGTATGGCTTAGAAATCAAGCAGTTATGTTTTTAGATAGAAACATTTTTTGCAGCAAAAGGTTTTTTTCAGGTTTTGCTTGGCTGTCAGTGAGATTTTCATTACTGAATTTCTCGTTAACTTGTTAATAATCAGTGGGAACAGCTGCCATGTTGTTGATATTGCAAATGCAACATTGAAGCTGGTTTGAGACTCACATTCTGATTGGTGTCAGTTGTGTAACCAGTCAAACTGGCAAGTTAAAATCAAGGGCGGGTAATTTGAGTGAGTGAGTGAGTTTAGTTTTACGCCCCACTCAGCAATATTCCATCTATATGATGGTGGTCTGTAAATAATCGAGTCTGGACCAGACAATCCAGTGATCAACAGCATGAACATCGATCTACGCAATTGGGATATGATGACATGTGTCAACCCAGTCAGTGAGCCTGACCACCCGATCCCTTTAGTCACCTTTTACAACAAGCATGGGTTGCTGAATATCGATTCTAACGCAGATCTTCACAGGTAGCAGTTAATTTGAGATTGCTGGAGTTAGTGTAGGTTTACAAAAATGCAAGCACTGGAAATATAGAGGGTAGCACTTGTCAAGATTTGTGATTAGTGATGTAGTATCTGAAACAGTATCCATGTGTAATTACAGTAATGGTCAATAAGTAGTGGTGATGGTGTGTGGTGATGGTGTGTGGTTCTGTGAATAGAGCCAAGGTCACAAATGAGTTGAAGTCAGGTGCGTAGCATGTCAAGTTTTTCGGGTAAGCCCGATAGGTTGCAAAGCTTTAAATTTCGATAGTATTTGAGGTGTTTTGGGCAAGAATTAGGAAAAAAACGTTTTTTAGCAAAATTCATGTGTAAGCCCGGCCTTTTTTTATAATGGTAGCTACACCCCTAGAAGTTAAGCAACTTTGGTCGCGGACAGTCCTTGGATGGGTGGCTGTGTTTGGCATCTTGATTCCTGAGAGTTTCTAGGACTTCAGTCCTGCCCCACAACGAAGCACACCTGACACATGTGGTTTCACCTTAGGCAAATGAGTTTGTTCATGAATTGCCTCTGTTCACCCAGCAGTGAATGGGTACCCGGTGGGATGGGTCATATGACTGTTAACCTTTTAGCGCCTCACAGGCAGCTTGGGTTATCCGGGGTAATAATGCGTCAGCCCCTTGAACATGCACAAGTGTGTGGAAACAGGCACTTTATAAATGGCCATTATTATTATAATATTATTATTATTAAATGTCACCCTTCCTCCTGAATTCCACTCATCTCACATAGCAGACATGTACATTCACACCCTACTGTTTAGCCCCATACATTATCCTCCAGATGAAAGGATCTCTGGACACTGGTTACACTGAGTCATCATCAGTATCGCAGGTGTCATACAGTCATCAGTATAGCCATGAATATACATTGTCTTGCAGGGAAATGAGTCTGTGTGTAACTTGTGGGAGTCAGATGAGCACTATAAGGAGTAAGGAATGTGAAGTTTGTGCAAACCTTACCATTGCTTCACATTGAAGCAATGTGTAGATTACAATTCCGAAACGCTGTGACACATTGCACAATAATCTTACTGTTTGTGTGATGTATGTTGAGCATTGATTGGTTTGAGGACACATTCATTTCCCATATGCTGAATCCAGGCCGTGGTTTGATTTGTTGGTTAAAATTCCGACACTGGAAGGCACTGTCGCATAGTGCATACAAACCTGTTGGGCATTGCGACTACCAGGTTGAGTTTTACTGGGAATTAGAGTGTTTGATGGCTGATGTTTCATCGATTATGTTGTCAGTGATGTTTGCTATCTTATTGAAAATTAAATATGCATTAAGTCAACACTGGACTTGATGGAGCCTGGGTGTGCTGTCGAGCAGGTTATTGATTGTAAAACTTGGCTTACTTAGTACGAGTAAGTAAAAGTCAACATTGACATGCGAAGAAACTGCTGCCCACTCTCATTATCACAAACCTGAAAGACATCACATGGGAACTTTCATTTGACAGGAACAGTTTCAAAAGATTAAACTGCATATCAACAAATACTTAATAAACCAAACATTTGACTGATAGTGATTATCTCCTAAAAGCTGGTATCCATGGGTAGAAACAGTGTGGGTGTTTCAGTTCATAGTTTGAGGTGATCTAAGTCTACTATTGAAATCACTAGTCTGAAACCAAAGTAAAATTCTGTCAGGTCCAGCTCAAAATTGTCCACATAATAACACTAAAGTCTGTTGAATATGGTGAGAGCCGTAAATAGTCTAGTTGACAAAGAAGTCTTTTACACAGACTTCTAAAGAACCATTTCAAGGTGTACCTCGCTGTCATAGGCCAGTTGTACAGGTAGCTGGACTGTATTGCAAGGCAGATGGCAAGTAGTAGAAGGTAACAGTAATTCTGTTCTTACCTTGTATACAATAAAATAATCAAATATAATACAGGAATCTGTTATCAAATAACCAACCAAAACATATTATGCATTGCAGTCATTTCTGTAGATTATAATGTGAATGTATGGACTATGATTTGTTTTTCATACCACAGTTTTACAGGAATCAAACTATATGTCTTAGGATTAACAATGTTCCCACTGCATGCCCCCTTGGGCTTAAAGAGTGGATGTCAGAATGATTTTACATTTATTTAGTTGAAGTACAGGTCTACATATGTTTTATATGATAGTAATTGTTCTGGTAAGAAAAACAGTCAAAACAGTTAGAACTGTTCATAAAAGCTTCACTAGCCCAAGTTAAGATAAAATACCTTGTAATGTTTAAACAATGGTTAAATCATGAAATATGTACATGGTAACTTCTTTGAGAGGCATTTTAGAAGTTGTATAGGCAGGGTATGAAACTCCAAAGATATTAAGCCAGACCACAGCGCTGGTTAGCAGTACCATGCAGTACTCGTACCCCATGGGACTCAGTAGTTGTACTGCTGTCAATCACTATCATTATGTGAATGATATAAACCATTATTACTCACCCGTTGAAGATATCACTGTTTAACAATTTTACAATGTTATTACACATTGTGTAATACCATCGCGTGATGTCGTACGTATGACGCCAAAGTGGTTTACAGTTATGATGTCACAATGCTAATACCTCTGTCACAATAGTATTAGACCTTGCTTGACTCGCGGAAAGCTGAGAGTCATCACACTCGTTGAATTCTTAGGAAAAAGGTACTTTGCTCGATATTATTTTGCTAATGTTGGGTGAGTAATAAATAAAATACTAAACTATATCCCGTATTGCAATACAATACTATATCTCGCTTTCGCTCGTTAGATACCAAATCATTCACTCATTTCATAAATATGGTATTACACGGGACATCGTTTAGTATTCTCTATTCCTTCAATGCCATACAGTTATTTTTATCATGCACATATCAGAAGTATTTTAGGCTCAAAACTGTTTGATAGCCCCTTGTACTAACAGTCTGGATTGGTTGACAAGGTGCTACATGCTGATGATAATGTCTTTGCATAGGGGGAAACATAACAAACTCACTGAAGAAATGTTTTCTGCCCACCTGCATCTAAATAGCTGTATCTTTAAAGATACTCAAGAAAATACCTATGTAACAAGAATTTATTCAAGACAAAAGAAATGGGGATTGTTTTGGTCTAGTGTAGTCCATGGGAGCTGTGTGCTGGGATGAGTGTTTTTGAATCCTAACGTTTAGTTCAAGTTTGATGTGGTAACTGGCTAGGTTATGATAACTGGAGCTTGTAGCTGTTATGTATGTCCTTGTTTAGTGATGCAAAGACTTACAGACAGTTGGGGGACATGGCCAGAATATCTTTCAGTTTTATGTTTGTAACTATTTCGGTTTGTGTGCCCCTTTTGAAGCATAGTAGTACAAACTGTTAGTCCATACATGGCGTTTGTGTATGTTGGCCGATATTGTTGACTAGTTGTTTAAGATTATTTACCGTCATTTTCAGAAGTCTTCAAGTCAGCTGCCTCTGGCTGTCAGTGAGGTACTGTCAACAGAACGGGGAACGACCTTCTACGTGCTGACAGTCGCTGGGGAACATGGGATACCTCTGAGCAGTGAGGCCAGCCCAAAGTCAGTGCCGGCCACGCCCACTAAGAGGTCGCTAACCCCAGCCTTCATGACAGAAGAACAGACCAATGATGACAACATGCCAGAATACATCAAGAATGTCGACATTTCCTCCTCGCTCCTCATAGAAATCAGAAAAAAAGTAAGAATATTTTGTAAACTCACCGATTCTGAATAAATCAGCTAACTCATGTATTTGACATTTTTTTCCAAAACAGAATAATAAACTCGAAAATTTAAATTTTGGCAGGGTACCTTTGCACCCCTTGACATCCAATCAGGGATCATGTTATACCTGGCCGTGACATCCCTCGTTATATCAATCACTGTTTTGTCTGGTCCAGACATGTTTATTTTAGGCTGCCATGATATGATGAGTACAAAGTTAAAAAATCAACCATAAAACGAAGAACAAATGAATGATGGAGACCTGACTGGGGCCTCCAGCCACGAACCCTCTCTTGGGTTTATGATTTAGAAGCCTTTCCAATATTCTGAGAGTATTTTACATTTCTTACTCTAATTACTTTATAACTACTCACAAACTTGAAAATATCCAGAACTGGTTCTTTTGTTCTTTCCTTAAAAAGCTGATTGGTTCAGTCCCCCCTGATGCATTGCGTGATGTTGCTGCAATACTGTAAACATGATATAGGTCAGGCGATGTTCTTACTTCGAGTTTGGGCACTTTTGACTTTCGACATAATAATAAGGTCACTTATATAGTGCTGAATTCCAAGCGGCAGGGACATACTCTAAGCGCATACAGCATAAATAGAGATTATTAACCTCGTGTGTTTCTGTATCATTAATATCATATATTATGAATAAAAATTGTATTAAGCGAGCCTTTGGCGAGCATAATACATAATTTTTATTCCTAATATATGATTTTAATGATACGGAAACACACGAGGTTAATAATCTCTTTATCATGTAATGTCATTCTTAAAATTACTCTAAAAATAGAAGCAAATCGTACGTGAATTTATATGAAGAGAATCGAGCATTCGCGTAAGAATACTTAGCGGTACACCAAGGTGAAGGTCGTTCATGACTGTGGCATATAGTTGTGACTAGTCGCTAATACAGTGCAAACATAACTCATGCTTAAAATGAGATCTTTCTGTCTAAAAAGAACAACAAAATTGGGCAGGGTTTTCCTGGCAGTGTTTCTATTTTCACTGCGGGTAATCACCTCATCAATATCAGTTTCTGATACCTGACGGAACGGATCCGTCATCAGTATTGTGATCGATAGATCAAAATCCTTGGTTGGTACCTATCTTAGACGATTGCCTTTCAGTCGTACCTCATAATCCGTACCTTCAATTTGAACGAAGTACTCCGTTTCATGTTTTCCAAAGTCAATTACTGCAGTAACGACTGCAGAACCTCGGTCATCAATTCTTACAGAATCACCAATTTTGAGAATGGGGGCAGCCATGTTTGTTTACAAACAATGTAAACTCGCGACGACGTCATCAATGAAACGTTTTAAGATTCGCATTGCGTGTATGGAGTTTTGTGAAAGTAGTTCGTGGATTGACCTTATTTGCATAGTTATCAGATTTGGATACCAAGTTTATCAGATTGCTTTATTGCACCGATAACACCCTGCATTAGATGATAATGGACATTATTACCCCAGATAACCCAAGCTTCCTATGCGGCACAAGAATAATCGGATTACTTATTCCACCAGGTACCCATTTTTTCCTGATTGAACAGGGGCAACTTAAGCCTGTCATTTGACTTTATTGTCAGTAGATCCTAGTGTTAAGGTATGGACATGTGGCTGTAGTCACAGACTGTACTAAATTCATAGGTTAGTATGGTTCATTTCATTAGAGTACCAATTCAAACGCAGCTTTGCTGCATGGTTGAAGGGAGACAACTCTTACCTCTAAACGGTAAGGTTCACTTTTGTTTGAAGCTGCATAAAAGTTTTGTCAGGCTTTTAGTAAAACAGTTCATGTTTCTAAAATTTGGGTTTATGATGATCTAGATTCTTAGAAATTATTCAACTTTATTACATTTTCAAACACTTTGGGAATTGATAAACATATGCATTGTTCAGCATATCTGAATATGTGAATATTTTCAGCGTTTGTTTTTAGGATGCAACAATTATCTGATACAGCTTTTCGTGATTAACATCTTCATTGCATTCTCACAGAAAGACTGTTTTTTGTCAACTAGAATGAATCTTGTTTGATGAATGATTAAACATGGAGATCTGTCATGTCTGCACACCAGTTTTCCATTTGTGTCCTCACCGTACAGTGGTTTCTTGCAGGATGAGGATGAGCTTCCTCAACCACCTGGAGGACTGGATGACTCAGGCTGCGGAGCGAGCCAGCAGCGTCGTCGTGGCCAAGGTACACCATAGTCACAAAGTTTAATGTGCTCTGGATCTGTTCAGCCATAACAGAGTCTTGTTTCCCTCATGATGTTATGGAATATTGCTTAAAGCGGCATAAAACCACACTAACTCAAGATAGTCAGGACATTACATTTAGTGATTTTTGTTGTAGTCTTTTGTCTTTTGAAGGTTGAAATATGTTCCCGATACCTTATGCTTGGCATCAGAGTAAATAGGTCTTGAATGTCTGTTTTCATACTCTTACATATACTACCCATCAAAAGTTAGACTTTAGCACTCACTATATGTTATGTTTATATATATATATATACGGTTACATCGAAGATGAATTTCTCCACTAACTTAAGGGCAACCATCTGCAAACTGTATGCAGATGAATTGCAGTACCCTTAAACATTATGGAATATTTAGCAAAATCTAGATTTTGTCCTTATCCTGACTCATGATCTTTTGCTTATCTCTTTCTTCTATCAAAATTTTGAATGTTAGTGGAACACTTGAATCCCTTTGTAGTTCCCTAAAAGCGGAAACAGTACCCTAAAACATTCACTCACCCACAAGTTACCTCCCTTTTCCCCACTTCTTCTACGTGAATGTTACAGTCCTGTGACCAGCCATACTTGCCACTATCTCCTTCATCGCCCAAGCAGATGGTTGGACGAGCACTGGAGTCCCGTATGCGGTATTATATCCTTTACATTTAGATCCTATATCAAAATTACGCTGTGTATGGTTTTTCGGTAGTAACTAGCTTGCATATATGTAAAAAAAATTGAAGAAATTATTTTGTCTTTTGTGACATATTTCATCGTTATGTAGTTGTTTACATTTGATGAAATCTTGCAGTGTTTGCAGGTTCCGGCTGTCAGTGGCTGATCCTCACCCCCAATGCCCGTCATGCATTAATCCATGTTCTTCCACCTTGCGTTGTAGATATTGCATTGATTTATCAAATTTGCAATTTAATCAATATTTGTCTTACATCTATAGACGTGCGATGGATCGGGTGAGGAAGTCATCACAAGTCACTGTTGATAAATCCGGAGATCAAGCCGGTAACCGTATGTTGTTTGCTACTGCCGAAATACATAATTCAGGTGCTTTGCCGAGTACGTTGCAGGGGCAGTTGTCTGTTACTGGGTCTAAGAAGAGGTCTGCTACGACCGAGTTGACGACATCGCAGAATAAGAAGAAGACGTCTTCATCATCTGCGACGCAGAAGAAGTCATCTGCAACTAGATCTTTGTCGAAATCAATTCATCCCAGTAAGACAACACATCAGAGGTCTTTTAATGAAGAGATTGTCCTGCCTGACGAAGCAGACGTGTTGCTGACCCTCCGATACTTCTACCTGAAGTACCTATTAGACCTGCCAGAACGGCAACGCAACTACAACAGCTGCTCAGCTGTTTGATGACCAACCACCAACTACGTAGACGTCAGTCATCGGAGACAACATCAGCGAAGTAGACGCACAAAACACCTCAGCGTTCGCGAACGCTTCGTCCACGGTCGGAAGAGGATAGGATGATCCTATCAGCTCTACTAACTCAGGAAAAGGACCAACACTTCATGTCGGATCACTTGGCCTCAACGTCGGCGGGTCTCACCTTATTATGTAGACAGGGTCTACTAGCATCTTGTTCCTGGAGTAACAGATTTACCCAACCGCTACTAAGAGCTCCTTGGGCGGCGCCTACTATCTTCGGATGGGGGATTGATGAAGCTGCTAAGGAAGCTACTCACGACTTAAAGAAGTCATGATGATCAAGTCTATAGACACTTTGGCCAACGTCATTCGACCATACTTCAGAGAAGTACAGCAACAAGTCCAAGTTTTCCAGTATTCAGAAGGCAAAGGAGAAGAAATACTCCAGCTTCAGGGGCGGGAAGAGCTCTTTTTGTCGCCCATCCGGAAACTACAGAGGGAACCCTGGGAGAAGACGTAATCCCAGAGGTTCTAGAAGAGCTAGACGCTGAAAATGGGTTTTGGAACAACGACACTTCCATCCCCAGCCGTTCCTGTACAACCATCGACAGTGGGTGGACGTCTACAAAGGTACTGAGAAAATTGGGGAATATTGGAGGACGACTTCATCTCACAAGTACTGTGAGAAGGGTACAGAGTGCAGCTCAAGGCCCCACCACCGTTAACCCACAGACCAATAGTATTGGACTATGCAGACGAGCAAGCAGACAAGTTAGAAGAAGCCATCAACTCGCTTCTAACCAAGAACGCGGGTAGAAAGAATATATCAACATCACCTCACACCAGGCTTTTACTCCCCAATTTTCCTAGTACCCAAGAAGAATTCCAAAGAGAAATTCAGGTTGATTTACAACATGAGGAAATTCAACCAAGACTATCTACTCAAACCAGACAGGTTCCAAATGATCCACCTACCTCAACTCAGACAACTTGTCCGTCCAGCAGATTACATGACCAGCATAGACCTTCAGGATGCATATCTGCACATCCCAATACATCTGGAATCAAGAAAATATCTAAGATTCCTATTCAGAGGTCAGCACTTCCAATGGAACGTCCTACCGTTTGGAAGATCGTCAGCTCCGTGGTTATTCACATGAATAACCAAGCCTATCGTCACTTATCTACATCATCAAGGTCTACGCAGTGCCTTTTATCTGGATGACGGGATACAGGTTCATCAAAATGCCAGTCAACTCAGACAGCAGCTAAACTTCACAATCAAATTGCTCACACAACTGGGATGGCTAGTGAACCTGATGAAGTCAGAGTTGGAACCAAAACAAGATCTTCAATTTTTGGGAATAAGATTTATCACAACACAGAATCGAATTGTGGTCCCAGAAGATCGTTGGGTCATGATACAAGCCATGATTCCAGAAGCAGCCATCTCTCCGTTACCACTATGAACATGGCAGTGTCTACTTGGTCTACTAAGCTCAGCACAGGACTTGACTCACACAGGAAGATTACAACTACGCCCGTTGCAGCGTTTCCTGGCAAAACATCAGGACAGCATCGACCTGATCTCGCTACCAGACAATCTCAAGACGTACCTGCTATGGTGGACTCACAGGTCGAATGTCTGCGGAGGGACCTATTTACAAGAGCCAGTCTTTGACACACACCTTTACGTAGATGCATCACTACAAGGATGGGGTGCTCATCTCAACAACCAAGTAGCATCAGGAAAGTGGTCGAAACTAGAACAGCATCTTCACATCAATCTGCTGGAAATGAAAGCCGTGATAAATGCTTTAGAACTTTGGTCGAGCTCACTGATCAACAGAAGGCTGATGGTCCACACAGACAACTCAACAATGGCATTCTCCATAAATCGGCAAGGATCAACGACATCACCAAGCCTACTTCAACTCACATTCCAGTTGTTCAACATCACGGAGGAAGCAAACATCTGGCTAAAGGCGTGTCACATACAAGGAGCCAAGAACGTACTAGCAGACACTCTATCTCGTCCACTTCATCCGTCACCCACGGAATGGATGCTCCACCCAGAGGCATTTCGGCTCATCATAAGGGAAATAGGATCCCCATGCATAGACCTGTTTGCCACGAGGTTCAACAAACAACTTCAGACATTCGTCTCCCCAGTACCAGATCCTCAAGCCTGGGCAATTGATGCACTGAGCATATCATGGGAAGGACTAACTGCATACGTGTTTCCGCAAACAGACCCAAGTGCTACTGACTTTGGTCGCGCCTTATTGGCCAGCGAGAGTCTGGTTCCTAGATCTAGTACGAGAACTCGGAAGTCCAACCCTCAAACTACCAGAATGGCCGAACCTGCTCATACATCCGCACACCAAGCAAGTCCACGGGAACCCACTGATGTTCCAGTTACACGTGTGGACCGTATCATAACTTGTCTAAAGAAAAGAGAATACTCCGCCAGAGCAGCGAAAGCAGTAACCGTAGTGTTACGCAGATCAACTCGCAATGTGTACGACGACAAATGGCAGAAATTTGAACAATATGCAAGGTGGAAAGGCTTCACAGCTATGAAAGCATCTCATCCTCAAGTGGCGGAATATCTATGTCACCTTAGAAATACAAGGCATTTAAAAGGTTCGACATTATCTACATATCTGGCAGCGATTAGTACAGTCGTCACTATAAAGACAGGCATCAAATTGACGAAAGTACCTGAATTACTTGCTCTGCTATGCTCTTTTAAACTGGAAGACCAGCAAAAGAAATTCAGAGCACCAGCTTGGGATCTGAACGGAATTCTACGACATCTCATGAGTGATGCCTACGAACCTCTAGAACAGACTACCTTCGAGCTACTTACACAGAAAGTTCTGTTCCTCCTTGCCCTAGCTTTGGCAGCTCGAATGTCAGAGATACATGCGCTGGATTTTGGACAAACTAGATTCTACACGAGACATCGTGCTGCAGTACATCTAGGACTTAGATGGGATTTTATTTCAAAGAATCAACTACCTGGTCAACCATGAAGTCAGAGCACTGGTGTCTACACTAGCTCTGCATGGAAATTGCTCAATATCATCAATAATGGAGGGCTGCTTTTGGAGTCGGATACGGGGGTTTGCCAACCACTACCTCAGAGACATAGCCACCATAGACGTCTCAGGCATTCACCAGTTTGGGCCTCTTGTTGTAGCACAACAACTAACAGTTCCACAAAGGCGCTGAGTTGGAAATCTCACCCTTTATCACGTTGACTTGTTGATAACTTTTACTACGAAAAAGTATTAGTTTGAAAGTCCATGCGCACAGTCTAGACTAGACTGGCATGAGTGATTTAGACTCTGTACGGGTAACGATCTTACCTGTACCTTAAGGGGTCGCATCTCATTTATGATAGCGATCTTATCATAATCTATGGTTTGTTATAGATAACTAGTAAAAAGAAGATAGTAGTATATCTAAAATCCACACAAATCTAGAAGATTCACTTGCCTGAGAGAGAAGTAAGACAAGATTATGGTCCCCCCGAGTTATAACGGAAGTTGGAAGAATAGGATCTAGGAAATGCTGTTACACAGTTCCCATGGGGGGGATACAGGACGTATCTAAGGACAGCTGATGAATGCACGAAGTGGCTTGACCCACCACCAATCCATCGGATTCTATAAGCAAAAGATCATGAGTCAGGATAAGGAAAAATATGTAATTTTTAAAGTAAAATAGATATTTTATACTTATCCTGACTCATGAGGTCAAGCCCTCCCAACCTCCCCACTGAAGACACTTCGGATTTCACAGTAGATCCAAGTGCATGGGCTATATTTAGGAGAGAGTGGCAAGTATGGCTGGTCACATGACTGTTTGCATGGGAAAAGGGAGGTAACTCGTGGGTGAGTGAATTTTTACGTCCGCTTTAGGGAACTACAAGGGATTCAAGTGTTCCACTAACATTCGCATAGAGGAAGGCAATAAGCAAAAGATTATGAGCCAGGATAAGTTTAAAATATCAATTTTACTTAAAAAAGAGTTGACTGAGGTAAGTGGCTACATTTACACTAGTGAGTCTAAACTTTTGATGAGTAGTATAGTATCAACAGTTGCTTTGTCTGGTCCTGAACAGAATATTGTAATTACTGGAATGTTGCCGAGTGTTGAATCCAAACCAGGGCCTAAATTTTTGAAGCTCTCTTAGCGCTAAGATAGTCGTAAGTTAATGTTAATGTATGGCACTTACAACTATCTTAGCGCTAAGAGAGCTTCGAAAATCTAGGCCCTGATCTGTTGATTTTACTCCTTATGTATTGGCTGTCTTTTCTAATGGAAAGTATCTATGACCAAAAGAATTTCACAGACAACAGATCTCTATGAAACCTTCATCTACTGCTGTTTCACTATCACTAGTCCTATATATGTTGGGGTTCTGTCTGACATTTGTTGGGTATTATATTGCTGTCCTTGTCTCCATCAGTGTGAGGAGCTGAACAGTGAGCTTGATCTCCGCCTCCATCTGCACCAGCCCCGAGCCCGGCGGGCCGAGTTCGACGTCCACAATGTCAGAGGAGGTATGTTCTGTAGGATACACATATCTACAGCGTTTGGAATTATGCATTAATGTCAAGGGGTCCTAGAAACAGCCTTAATGTTAAAAAACAAAGATTTAGGGGTCCCTAGATTCAAATAACAGGCCCAGGACTGACCCTTATCCCCATATTGTCAATGTGCTCAGTATCTGTCAATTGTCATGACCATTTATCATAACCTCCATTGTATGTGTGGTCATCAGAACAATCATTGTCTCTATAGTTGTCATAACCTCCATTGTATGTGTGGTCATTAGAACAATCATTGTCTCTATAGTTGTCATAACCTCCATTGTATGTGTGGTCATTAGAACAATCATTGTCTCTATAGTTGTCATAACCTCCATTGTATGTGTGGTCATTAGAACAATCATTGTCTCTATAGTTGTCATAACCTCCATTGTATGTGTGGTCATCAGAACAATGACTGTTTCTATAGTTGTCATAACCTCCATTGTATGTGTGTCATTAGAACAATCATTGTTTGTGTAGCTGTCAGAACAATCATTGTCTCTGTAGTTGTCATAACCTCCATTGTATGTGTGGTCATTAGAACAATCATTGTCTCTATAGTTGTCATAACCTCCATTGTATGTGTGGTCATCAGAACAATGACTGTTTCTGTAGTTGTCAGGAGAACCATTGTTTGTGTAGCTGTCAGAACAATCATTGTCTCTGTAGTTGTAAGAAGAACCATAGTTTGTGTAGTTGTCAGAACAATAATTGTCTCTGTAGTTGTCAGAAGAACCATTGTTTATGTAACTGTCAGAACAATCATTGTCTCTGTAGTTGTCAGAACAATCATTGTCTCTGTAGTTGTCAGAACAATCATTCTCTCTGTAGTTGTCAGAACAATAATTGTCTCTGTAGTTATCAGGAGAACCTTTGTTTGTGTAGCTGTCAGAACAATAATTGTCTCTGTAGTTGTCAGAAGAACCATTGTTTGTGTAGCTGTCAGAACAATAATTGTCTCTGTAGTTATCAGGAGAACCATTGTTTGTGTAGCTGTCAGAACAATCATTGTCTCTGTAGTTGTCAGAAGAACCATTGTTTGTGTAGCTGTCAGAACAATAATTGTCTCTGTAGTTGTAAGAAGAACCATTGTTTATGTAGTTGTCAGAACAATCATTGTCGCTGTAGTTATCAGGAGAACCATTGTTTGTGTAGCTATCAGAACAATAATTTTCTCTGTAGTTGTCAGAAGAACCATTGTTTGTGTAGCTGTCAGAACAATAATTGTCTCTGTAGTTGTCAGGAGAACCATTGTTTGTGTAGCTGTCAGAACAATAATTGTCTCTGTAGTTGTCAGAAGAACCATTGTTTGTGTAGTTGTCAGAACAATCATTGTCTCTGTAGTTGTCAGAAGAACCATTGTTTGTTTAGCTGTCAGAACAATCATTGTTTCTGTAGTTGTAAGAAGAACCATAGTTTGTGTAGTTGTCAGAACAATAATTGTCTCTGTAGTTGTCAGAAGAACCATTGTTTGTTTAGTTGTCAGAATAATTATTGTCTCTGTAGTTGTCAGAAGAACCATCGTTTGTTTAGTTGTAACAACAATCATTGTCTCCATGGTTGTCATAGAAACTCTTTCTGTGTAGTTACAGAAGAGTAGGTAGCCAGTAAAGTCATCCCTTCTGTATTGCAGCTGAGCTAGTGATGCACTCTGAACGTGTCGCCCGTCACTGTAAGGGTATCCAGCAGGCTCTCTCTGAGCTCCGCCATCGATTCAACGGCATGAGTCATGAACACAACAAGCTTGCTCAGAAGTTCCGTGAAGATATCGAAGCTCTGGAAATCATCTTTATCAATGCGACAAAATCTTCAAGGTAGTATGGAATAATTGAGTACCATCATAGGAATATGATGGTACTCATATTATCCTTATGGATAATTGGTGTAAAGTACACTCTAAAAGCTAGCACCATTAATTGACTCTGGACAGGTAATCTGTACGTCCTTGGAATGTGGTAGCAGTTACATCAAGTATCTTAAAACAAATCTGTGAAATCTTCAGGAGAAACTCCATGTCACAACTAATTTTAACCTCTTAAACTAACTCTCTTTCTCTTCAGGCTGGTGGCTCTGCAGAACCAGCTGAGTGTGGAGCTGGACAAGTTCATGTCTGTGATTCGCACATCACTCCGGCAGTTCCGCCAGCACCTTGACGAGACACTCCAGATGCTCCGCGAGTCTAATGCCAGGTTCATCAAGTCCTTTAAGTGAGTAGATCCAAGTAGACATTGTCACTGGATGAACCTACAGAATGTAGAGAAGAATAGGAGTGTTTTCTTTCCTTGTTCTGATGTGCTCATTCCTTGATCTGTGTTCCATGTCATTCTTGGGTGTTTTCATTCCTTGATCTGATGTTCTCATTCCTTGATTTGATGTCCTCATTCCTTGATCTACATTCCCTGTCACTGCAGGGTGCTTTCATTCCTTGATCCATGTTTTGTGTGTTAATGCAGGGTGTTCTCAGATGGAGGTAATTTCTGCCCTGATGAGATCGAGGAGTATCGGAAGAAACTGGAGAAGATGTCACAGAAGATTGACACGTCAGAAGGTTCCATCATGTCTGACCTGGAAGGAATGGAGTCCAAGAGACTGGAGCAGGCCACTAAAGTTGCCATAGAGTTTGAGGACAGGTTGGAACTGCAACCAGTGACTGATAATATGAGCATTTCACCTCACCTGACCACACAATCTACTAAGCTGCCTTATATTACAGCATAGGTTGCTTGAAATTAATTGTAAACCAGAGCCCGTCTGCATACTGTATTTATTACAGTGTAAAGACATATTCAGAAATAAGCATGAGAATATTGTCCCCCCTTTTAATCTGTGCAAGATATAAAGAGTAATTAATATTGCGTATGTTTCCTTTCCATTTTAAGGATACAATGTAGAGATATTATCCTTCATGACTCTGGCTCTGATCTGTAGTGTTTTAGGAAAGAGGTCTCCAACAGAATGAGTACAAATTAACATAAGGATCAGGTGGTCATAAGGATTGCTTTTTGAATGACAGATAGCGAACTACCCTGCCAGTTGTCCTTAGCCACAGGTCATATTCTGATTGAGTCATTGTGTATTGATTACGCACTTGATGTCCACAGGTTTAAGAGTCACATGTTTGACCTGATCTTCATGGAGAAGATCGCAAGATGGCTGACTAACACTCAGTGAAAATCAAGGCTGAAGTTGCTAACAGTAACTCCCAGGCTCAGCGACTGATGCAGCACCTTAATGATCTTGACCGCAGGATAGATGCCTGTGAGAAACCCAACCTTGACAAGGAGGTGAGTCTGAATTATACGAATGAACTTGACCTCAGGGAAGATGAATGCAGGTAACCTAACAAGACCGGTGTAATACCTTACTTCACCTGGGAGGTTAGTGGGACTAACCTTGACCTTGACTTTGACCTCTGGATAGCCCTACAAGGAATTAGGATTGCTGATCCCTGATCTCAGATTCAGATTTCAATTTTGCAGAAAAGTATATTTCATTTGCACTGTACTAGAAAATAAAATAAATACATCACCTTTGTAAAGGTCCAAAAGTGAAAATACATTGACTATCTGACCAAAACTATCAATAGCTAATGTGAATGATAATATGTGATTAAACACTGTGGCAGTGGCAGAAAGCGTATCATGAGCCTTGATAAACGGATCAAGTTTCCATCTTCTGTTTTCCAGGGTCGGTAGGGTAGCCTCGTGGTTAAGGTGTTCGCTCGTCACGCCGAAGACCCGGGTTTGATTCTCCACATGGGCACAGTGTGTGAAGCCCATTTCTGGTGTCCCCTGCAGTGATATTGCTGGAATATGGCAAAAACGGTGTAAACCTAAACTCAGTCACTCTCTTTTCCAGCAAATCTCATCCAGTCAGCTGAATGACAGCCTTAAAGCCCTAATGGATGCCTTCCATGCACGCTGTGTGTACTTGAACTGTATGAAGGAGGGGACCGCCCGACCCCCATCAGTTTCACTGCAGGGTAATCCAGCCACCGGTGAGTGTAGAGTGACGAAGGGGTGAGGGAACAATGAGTGGAGTGATAGATGCATCCATTGGATCAGCTCTGGGTGAAGTCTTATTAAGAAGGTCGACCTTTACCATAGCAACCTCTGCTTGTCATGAGACGACTATATTGACTGGAGAGACATGACATGGCTGATTGCATGCCATATGACCCCAACAGCCTGGGCTGTGCTCATAATATCATCCACTGGTTCGTCTGGTCCAGATTTGATTATTTACATGCTGTCAGTATAAAGGTTGAATATTGCCAAGTCTTTGGCAGCAAACAAACACAGAATGTTACTTCCGAAAGCATCCATGAAGATTTATTGGGCTTTCATTCACTTTAAAACAATCCCATCCATTCAAGGTTTCAAACTTTAAAACAATGCTCAGTTTACAGTTTAAATATTTATCTTATTGACCAATCCAAAATCAAGACCAAACTTGTGAGTTTTATACTTCTTCTGTGTATTTCTAACTCATTTTTTTCTTTAGGTATTTATGAGCTTGTTTTTCCTTTTTTGTTGATGTCAGGATTTCACAGAAAAAAGCGTCGTCTATCATTTGCCTCGTCAACTGCAGTAGTAGTGATTGGTATATTTGTGCTTTCTGTAACACTTTTTTGTTCTTCATATTCTTTTGTTTGCTTTTTGTTTATTTGTTTCTGTTTTGTTTTGGCAACTGAGGCCAATTTATTTTGTTTGTATTTGGAAAATATGGACAGTTTTGTTATGTAAACTTAATAGCTCTGGGGATTCCATGTGAGAAGATGTCCCATACGCGGATCCACCCCTGCACCCCCCTTTTGTCCTGAAAGTTTATTAAATGACCATTTGAAACTCTCGTGAAAGTGGGTGAAAATTAAGTGTGCACCCACCCCCTTTCTCGAAAGTTTGGAGAAAAAACCTCTCTTTCCTCTCTTCCCCACCCCCTTTCTCATAAAGTGGTCAGTGGTCGTACTCAGTGGTTTAGATTGTTGCTCATGATATCAATCACTGGATTTCAGCATCATATAGCTGTAATATTGCTGACTGGGATGTTAAGTAATAAACCAAACAGGCTAAAGGTTTGGCAATGTTTCTGTGGGAGATTCACAGGCATAGCCATTGTGTCATAAGGGCTGACTATATCAAGAATCATTTGGTCTTAAATTTACCACTTTGGTGATGCTCATGGTATTGACCTCTGGTTTGTGTGAGCTTCTTGCAGGCTGCCATGATTTAGCTGTAATAGTGACAACATATTAGTTAACTGCAACCAATATTACACAAGACATGCCACAATGTATTTCAGTTACATTTAAGAATAACTTCTCTGTACGGTAATGAAGCTGGAGAATAAACATTTCACATTGAAACTTGGGGCAGTGGCATAGCCTTGTGGTTAAAGCATCCACTCGTCACACTGAAGACACGGGTTTGATTCCCCACATTGGTACAATGTGTGAAACCCATTTCTGGTGTCCCCCGCCGTGATGTTGCTGGAATATTGCTAAAAGCAGCGTCAAACCACACTCACTCACTCATTGAAAACTCAGCTATGGATGCTTGTTGTAGTAGGTGATGGATCCAGGGTCAGACTTGGTCACCTTGCTGATAACATGTCCTCATGGCGTTGATGGTTGACATGATATCAGCCACTAGTTTGTCTGATGTTGACTAGGTTATTTACAGGCTGTTGGTATACAGCTGGAATAATGTTGAACTTGCATAAAACAACACTCACTCACTTTCTACTACGTTCATGAGTGTTTATGTGTCCTGTTGCAGCTGCTCGAGTCGGCTTCTCATACGATGTGACGGCAGTCAGCAAACCTGGCAAACAGCCATCGGAAGATCCCTCTGTCGGAGTCATCAAGAGCATTCTCAAGTCAGTAGTTCGTTTTGGCTGTTTGTCGTTTATGTCCTTACAGTGCAGTATAAGATCACATGATAGACAGACATGTTAGGACAAGACTAAGTACTTGATTATCCAGACACCTTTCATATCTGGCTGGATAACTGACTGTCGATATATGAGTCTGGCTGGATAACCGACTGTCTGGATATCCGAGTCTGGTTAGATAACTGACTGTCTGGATATCTCAGTCTGGCTGGATAACTGACTGTCTGGATATCTCCGTCTTGCTTGATAACTGACTGTCTGGATATCTGAGTCTGACTGGATAACTGACTGTCTGGATATCTCAGTCTGGCTGGATAACTGACTGTCTGGATATCTCAGTCTGGCTGGATAACTCACTGTCGATATATGAGTCCTGCTGGATAACTGACTGTCTGGATATCTGAGTCTGGCTGGATATCTCAGTCTGGCTGGATAACTGACTGTCTGGATATCTCAGTCTGACTGGATAACTGACTGTCTGGATATCTCCATCTTGCTGGATAACTCACTGTCGATATATGAGTCCTGCTGGATAACTGACTGTCTGGATATCTGAGTCTGACTGGGTACTGACTGGCTGGATATCTGAGTCTGGCTGGATAACTGACTGTCTGGATATCTCCATCTTGCTAAAATAATTTGACAAAAGAAGTGGAACAAGTTGTTAATGCTTTACTGATGTCTTCGACAGAAGCCAGGAAAAGCAATAACTTGATGCGTTTAGGAGGATAGTCTGGTTAGATAACTGATAACTGTCTGGATATCTCTGGCTGTCTGGCTGGATAACTGACTGTCTGGATATCTCAGTCTGGATAACTCTGCTGGATAACTGACTGTCTGGATATCTGAGTCTGACTGGATAATATCTGACTGTGGATAACTGACTGTCTGGATATCTCAGTCTGGGATAACTGACTGTCTGGATATCTCAGTCTGGCTGGATAACTGACTGTCTGGATATCTCCATCTTGCTGGATAACTCACTGTCGATATATGAGTCCTGCTGGATAACTGACTGTCTGGATATCTGAGTCTGACTGGATACTGACTGTCTGGATATCTGAGTCTGGCTGGATAACTGACTGTCTGGATATCTCCATCCTGCTGGATAACTCACTGTCGATATATGAGTCCTGATGGATAACTGACTGTCTGGATATCTGAGTCTTGCTGGATAACTGACTGGCTGGATATCTGAGTCTGGCTGGATAACTGACTGTCTGGATATCTGAGTCTGACTGGATAACTGACTGTCTGGATATCTGAGTCTGGCTGGATATCTGACTGTCTGGATATCTCCATCTTGCTGGATAACTGACTGTCTGGATATCTGAGTCTGGCTGGATAACTGACTGTCTGGATATCTCCATCTTGCTGGATAACTCACTGTCGATATATGAGTCCTGCTGGATAACTGACTGTCTGGATATCTGAGTGTGACTGAGTACTGACTGTCTGGATATCTGAGTCTGGCTGGATAACTGACCGCCTGGCTGCAGAGTCCCTGCATTAATTGATAACAACTTATTTGAGTTTAAAACCTGAGCAAGTGAAATGTCATTGTACAAATGTGTAAACCTAAACTGTCAGTGTCACGCATTTTGATTGTTTTTACTGCCATAATTGATTACTTGAATTATCTCCACAATCTACATTGCCAAACACACCGCCTCATATCATTTTTTTTATTCCTGTACAAGAAGAAACTTGTATTGAATTTAATTGGGACCTATTAAAAAACATCTGTGTTATGTACAGCAAGGAGGTCTCTTAACCAGATTTCATTAAAAATGAACAGTGTGGTATATCAAAGTGTTTGATTGTGTTGATTATAGCTTGGTTATCAGAGTCTGTGAAAGTCATTGTCTATATATCACCAAAAACAGGTACAGTAAATAAGAGTTGTGACAGAACGAGAGTAATGTGATATTTCTATGTAACAATTACAATCTCTTAATCCATTTAGAGTTTTCTATGTATGCAATGTTTACAAGTTCTACACTTAGTCTGGGCACCAAACGTGGAGAGTAATCTCTCTTTAACAAAACTTTATGGTATAAAATAATTTGACAAAAGAAGTGGAACAAGTTGTTAATGCTTTACTGATGTCTTCGACAGAAGCCAGAAAAGCAAGATGCGTTTTGGAGGGGATGCTGAGCTGGATGGTGACACGATGACGCCATCCACGACAATGATTCCACCTACTTCCACTAGCGTCACCCAGGACTTGGCCAGAGATAAGCAGAAGTCATCCATGTCCCAGAGTTCCAACAAGCTCAGCACCATCGGTGAGAAGAAGGCGGGGAGTCGACGTGGAACTCTGGGATCCATCGTCATGGAGCAGATTGTTCCAGTCAAGAGAATTCACTCAGCGTGAGTCATGTTGACACGGAACCAATATTGTAGTCAGCTGTTAACTTGAGTCTGTAATTCGTATTGGACAATATGGATAGATTGTTCATGTGAGGAAAATTTAATGTCTTAAAACTTCATGTTGTGATGAATGTAAATGGCTCCCCCAAAATGTAATTATGATTTACTAAGTATTTGGCCTTTTATAAACATTGACTGATGGTTACCTTGAAGACATGTGTCAGTCTGTCTTGTCTTCTTGATCAGGATCTTGGCAATCCTTCATTAGTTCCAAATGTAGGGAACTATATAAATGAAATGTTCAAGGATCTATTCAGCATAGTGGTTGTAGATCTATGGATATCTTTGCTCCCATACTACATAATGGACATGGATTGATCAGCAATATGAACTGGAAGAACAGGGCCTGCAATATTTCATTGTACTTTCCTGTCAGACAATTTTGAATTCTATATTGTTTTGCCGTAGAGGGTTTCAGACATACTTTCCTGTGATTGAGTTGTGTCAGTTGCCTATCTGGAGCTGAAGCCATACGTCATTTAGTCCTCCATGGTCATACCAGCCACGTTGTCCACTGGGTCTTATTCTGCCCCTACCTGTAACAGATGCTCTCAGTGCTATTTGCATGTCCTGCTACAGGTTGAGACGCAGCAGCAAGTCCAACAAGTTTGACAAGAAGTACCTGGTGTTCGGGGAGAAGGAAGAGGAGATAGAGCTCACCAACATCAT